ATATATATATATATATATATACAGTATACACACACACACACACACACACACACACACACAGTCCTCATAAGCTTTACTTCGTTCCCAAGGCACTATTTAGAATAGTGTATTTTGTGGCATATGTGTGTGGGTCATGAATAAATCAGCTGAGAAGAGAGTTCAAAGTTTCATAAATAAAACATGGTGTTATACTTGCTATTATTATGTGGAATATATAAGTGAAGTCCTGCTCTATATCTGTAGATAAAAGGAGGTTTTGAAGTCTTGAGCTCCAGGCTAATTTACATGTATGAATAATTAGTGATTTTTGCTTCTTTTATATTTCTAAAAATACTATTGTATATACTTTTTATACTATTTTAAAAATACTGTCTTAGCTTAAACCTAAAATCTAATATTAAATTGCTATTAAGAATCTAAAATTACTTTTAAAATATAGCGCAAAGCAATACACAAAAGGTATGTTTGGCAGTACAATGGTACTTTGATATACAGTGGTGTGAAAAAGTGTTGACCCCCTTCCTGTTTTTTAAATTTTTGCATGTTTGTCAAAATATATCTCAATATATATGAACAAAAAAATAAGAAATCAGGAAGGGGCAAACACTTTTTCACTGTATAGAATGGTACTAAATGATCTCCATATTCATAGAGGGTTCTTCAAGTTTAAAAAAAATGCTATTAACATTTTAGCTTAAACCTAAATCTAAAAAATACTATTAAAAATCTTTATTTCTAAAACAGTACACAAAATTGACTTCTACTGTACAATTGCATTTTGATGAATAATGGTACTAGTTGATCTCCATATTCATGGTTCTCCAAGTTTTCTAATATATATATATATATATATATATATATATATATATATATATATATATATATATATTGGAGAAATCTATAAATATCTCACTGAGGAAAAAAATTAACTTAAATGATTTTAGCTAATGGCTGCAATATAACGAAGAGTGAAAAATTTAAGGGGGTCTGAATACTTTCCGTACCCACTATATATATATATATATATATTCTAAAACAATCTATTAAAAATCTGTTTAAAAAACTGATAACAATCTAAAATTA